CCGGCTTATCCCCTACAAATCTTTGTATTGGGTAAGGCTAGTGTTTCCTGTTTTATTGGTAAAGTCAATACATTTCCTGTATAGCATGGCAGTATTTTTCAAAGTTCCACCCTGTTTTAAAGCAAGTGCTTCTGCTGTTGCAGTGCAGTATTTTCTGCATGGTTTGCTTACAGTCAAGGAAAAAACATGGAAACGAAAAAGCCTATAATACACAATATCAACTTTTAATGCCTCACAATGGGTTAACTTTCTTGTCAGTTTTCCCTTGGTATAGCTGTTTATCTTCTTACATTAAAGCGTGAAAAATGACATTCTTTGGTATGTACCATATTTATTATAGCAATTTAGTTATCAAGCTGACAGATAAAAGCTATAATCCATTACAGCTTTTCATTGCATTGGAAATTAATTTATATAATCACACACTGTAAATGTTTGTTAAACAAAATTGTGTTAAAAGTGTGAGGGCAGCTTAAGTACACAGGAAGAAAACCACAGCTTCATTTTTTCTCACTGTGTGTGTTTTATTGTTATGTGATTGAGTATAAATGGTATAATGGATTGTAGTCACAACCTTGCTTACTTTGGGGAAAATATTCCTGCAATTATTTTAAAATCCAAAAGGGGACATTTTAAGATCCACTGCCTGACTAACCCAAACCATTTTTAAAATGACCCTTATCTAGACAAATCACTCCAATTTGTGAGCCCTTTGATGCACTAAAAGTTTGGGCTGTATTTCCACAATTTAGACACATGGTAATTATGTGAATGGGCCATTTACTGCTATGGATATGTTTTGCTTAGTGTGTGTATATATGTATGAATATATGTGTATGTATGTGTGTGTGTGTATATATATATATATATATATATATATATATATATATATATATATATATACATAAAATTGAAACTGGCAATGACAAATGATGCTAAACATTTTTCTAGCTGGTACTTTGGCATAAAACCCAGGCAAACTGCTTTTGACAATGAGCACAGTTACTTAAAGTTACCTAAAGATGAATCAAAGCAACCTTAGCACATAAAGAAGATCTATAATGAGAGAAATAGGGACCTCCATTACTGTTCTTTATATAAGAATACTGGTTGCCCAGATGTCTCAGATCTCAGGTTGATCCTGCCAGTCAGCTTTCTTCCCTGTTCTAAACTGACTACACAAAGCACACAAGATAATCTGTGTTAGCATGGTCAGTCTCCATCCTTTGGCTTGCCATTCAGATGTACAAGACACTGTACAGACAAACAGCATTGCAAAAAAGGTAAGAAAGATCATTTCCGAAACTAAGGGAAAGCTGTTATGATGCCTGAATAGTTATAACTGTATTAGAAAGTGTCTACAACATTGCATGTTCACAAGTACTTTTATTGAAGGATAGGTGAAAAGTGGTAGCCTTTAGATCTTTACAATGCTAGCAGATAATGACTGGTGGAAGGGCTGGCTGGGTGCTGTAGTTTACTAAAATCATTACAACACCCTACCACAGTACTAATCTCAAGAATTCTCAGTCCTGATGCAAGCAATGGATTGGTTTCTGGGAGGAGTTATGCAAATATAAAAATGCCTAGGAATTGTGGTAACCTTCCTAGGCAAGGTAGCATTTGCATGCAGACCACTCTAGGTAACACCCACATGTGACGTTGAGCCTCCATGATTGAAAGAACTGACATCCAATGAATGAAAAGGGCAAACAGGGAACAGTAAAGCCCCATACACACAGGCCAAATATCAACTGAATTTAGCCTTTACAGTAGAAACTGGGAGATTTTTGGCCCATGTGTACAGCTGCTTGACCAACAGAAGCCGATGTCACAACCGGCATCTGTCCAACGGGCATTCTGGAAAACCAGCGGCCAATAGGCAATCGATCAGTGCTTGTAGTCAGTGGCTGCAAGCGCTGACCAGTATGTTCTGGCGTGAGGACTGTCCCCCTGTCAAAGCACAATAGCACAACGGGAAGATCACTGAAATAGCATTGCATAATTAGTACAGAGACCTCCTCTCTTTTTTTTTTGGGTTGAATGAAAAAAAAAACAACCTAATGTGTGTACCAGGCATAAGGGAAGGAAAGTGTTAAATTATACTTGATGTCCCCTAGCCGGGAAACAGGGTGGACTCTATTCCGATCCAGAAATCCATACATTAACTACCACTGATTTTTTTCCATAAATATGTTCTCCAATTTCCTTACAGTAAGTCTCTCATCCAAGAATGCGTGAAATTTATAGTTTCATTAGGGGCATAACACAATGTTTTGTTTTGTTTTTGTTTTCAGCTCCACTAATTTTCCTAAAACTGGAACTAACCCCCTTTTTTTGGTTTTATTAGGAAGTGGTAAAATGTAGATATCATCTATTTTTATAAAGCTCTGTTCTGTTTTCCAATAACTTTAAATGAGGACTTTGTAATGACATAATATTACATAATATTACATATAGGACAATAATGACATAATATTACATATTCTTCTACATACATCTTTTTATCATTTATGTTAAATGGTAAAAAAAAATATTTATAGGCTCCTTTCACACAGGTGATGTCTGGTCCTCTCAGCAGGGGATCCTTGAAAAAAATCCCCTGCTGAACTGGAGCAGAACAGAACAGTCCATGCAGTGTTTACCTCCATTTAACAAACAGAGCTTTCCAGACCCATATAAGATCTACGCATCCTTTTACATCAGACTGCCTCTTTTCTGTCACTTTTAGAGCAGAAAAAATGGAAAGGAATGCAGACATTTTCCATATTTTTTAGACCTAGACAAGCTAGGAGGTAAGTGGATATAAATGGATGCATACCAATAGGCCTAAGCCAGCCGTACATTGATCAAAATTCGACCAGTGCAGCAGAGACCGACTATATTTTACAATCCATGTATGTGCACTTTGGTTGTACAGAAGTAAGGCAATTTACTGATTGACTTCTGTACAACCACCCTGTCAGATTTTTGCTGCTCATTCAGTGCCTCAGGTTGTAGCCGGCAGCGCTGATCAATGTATTGTGATGGTGGGGAAGTCTCCCTGCTGTCAGAATACAAAAGCAAAGCTGGAGGATTCCTTCATCCACAATGAATGTGTGGATAGGGGAATCAAATAATTTTTTTTCCTTCAACCCACTGGTTAAAAAAAAAGAAAGAATCACCTATGGGCTGCTTTTCATTGAGCTTTCAATCAAGTCTCCCTGTGAAAAACTGACAAGCAGATTTGATTGGATCACTCATGTGAATGGGGTCTTAAGGTCTTTAATCAATTAATCATTCAATCTTTCATCAACAGAATAATCTATGAATATGATCCTGATTACATGCTCTTACTAGCCTGCCCTACGCAAACACATTTTTGTGACACATAATTCAAGTATACACAATGTACAGATGCTGGCTTCTTTTCCTTCACTACTAGCCAAAATTACATTAGGGCTTTGCTATAGGAACTCTCCTTTGACGTGACAATTCATTTGTCTTCTATTAGCTCATAATCTTCTTTGCATTTGATATTCATCAACAAAGATGTTCTCCATTGTGGTTGTCATATTTATCTAGTGCTTCCAGTTGTGACTGTCATTGTCATTTACTATATCCAGCAGGTTCATTTACAAGATTTATTTTTTTTTAGTTTGTTTGTTTCTCATTGAAATATAGTATTGTGGTATTTGTTCCTTACTAAGTGCGGTCATTTGTAATAGTAAGACAACTGAAATGAGCTGATTTAATTTCATTATTTCAAGGTTATCAGCAGTTTACATTTATGTATTATTTGATTTTCCTTTAAATTAGTGCATTCAAACAGAACATTTTGGAAAATGTGCAAGTATTGCCTGTATTAGGTCCCTTTCACATGGGCAATCCAATCAGGTCTGTCTGTCAGTTTTTCAGGCAAAACTGATCATATGGTCCATGCATTCTTATCAACAGGGGAGTGTAAACTGACTTGTTTCTGTTTACATCCACCTACCTCTGGATCTGATTGGGTTAAAAAATAAACAGAAGGGGATCCATCCTTTTCCTTTAAGGCGGATTGGATCAAAGTGTAGTTGGGTGAAAATGGACAGCTGATTCTGTTTACTCCTGACTGTCCATAGGGCAGCAGGGGATCTGTGAGCTGATCATATGACAAATTACTTTAAACCCCAACTCTAGGATATCAGTAACATCCCTACCACCTCAACTAACTGCTAGTATGAAAACAAAACAATTTAGATACCCCTTTTACTTACTTGAAACCACAGTCATGGGACAGTCCTCTCTTCTATATGCTTCATGGGGTCCTTCTTTGGGTTTTCATATTACTACCTGTGTGATGTGTATGGACACTTCATATTGGTGGAGGCAACACTTCCAGCAACCAGGTTCTTTCCCATTGTCTTTAACCACTAGTCTACAGGGCATTTATACCCCCTTCCTGCCCAGGCCAATTTCCAGCTTTCAGCGCTGTCACACTTTGAATGACAATTGCGTGGTCATGCAACATTGTACCCATATGAAATTTTTATCATATTTTTGTGACAGATAGAGCTTTCTTTTGGTGGTATTTAATCACCTCTGGGATTTTTATTTTTTCTTAAACAAACCAAAAACCACTGAAAATGTTGAAAAAAAAAAGTTTTTTCTTAGTTTTTGTTATACAATTTTGTAAATAAGTGATTTTTCTCCTTCACTGATGTGCGCTAATGAGGCTGCACTGATGGGCACTGATAGGCTGCACTGATGAACACTGATAGGTGGCACTGATGGGCATTGACAGGCATCACTGAGGGGCACTGAAAGGCAGCACTCATATATGGCACTGATAGGTGGCACTGACTGTCACTGATAGGCGGCACTGATTGGCACTGTTAGGTGGCACTGACTGGCACTGTTAGGCGGCACTGATAGGCAGCACTGACGGGCACTGATAGGCACTGATGACACTGATACATGTCACTGATATTGCACTGTTAGGCGGCACTGACTGGCACTGATAGGCGGCACTGACTGGCACTGATAGGCGGCACTGATAGGCGACACTGACTGGCACTGATAGGCGGCACTGATTGGCAGCACTGATAGGTGGCACTGATTGGCATTGATAGGTGGCATTGACTGGCACTGATGGGTGACATTGAAAGGCAGCTCAGATGGGCACTGATATGTGGCATTGATGTGCACTGGTATGCACTGATATGTGGCATTGATTTGGCACTGATGGGCACTGGCACGGCACGTGGCACTGATGGGCACTGGCACGTGGCACTGATGGGCACTGGCACTGAAGAGCACTGACAGGTGGCACTTCTGGGGCCACACTAATCATCAGGGCACACTGATCATCAGTGCCCTGATGATCAGTGTACATGTCCCCTCCTCGGAAAGCCGATTACCGGCTCTCCTCTCCTCTCGAGCTGTCAGCGTGACAGCTCGAGAGGAGAGAAATGCCGATAACCGGCATTTGCGTGTTTACATGTGATCAGCTGTGATTGGGCATAGCTGATCACATAACCGAGCCGACATATTTGTCTCTTTCCGTGATCCGCTGTGTCCGAGGGACACAGCGCACCAGCGATCCGCCGCGCTGTGTGCTCCCTGAGCCGCGCATGCGCAGTGAGTATGGTAGGACGTCATATGATGTCCTATCAGAACGAGAGAACCACATGAGGTGGTGAGGGAACCCATGCCCAAGAAATATCAAGCAAAGAAAATTGTTGGGTACCCAGAGAAGGAATTTAGTTAGGCTCATATAAGAAACTGTGACTTTGATGCATTACACTGCAGGGTGGCTTGGGAAGAGGTGTTTGGAATCAAGACTGAGGAGTAAGGCCTTTTTCACACAGGTGTTCCGTATGTCCGTTTTTCATCTGTCCTTTTACGGATGAAAAACGGACACCCATGTATTTCTATGGACTAGCAGATGTAAACGGATGATCATCCATTTACAGCCGTTAATGTCTGTATCCGTTAACATTAATTTTTTTGAACGGCAGAAAACCCTATTTTTCTTCCGGAAAAAAACCCAGAACGGACAAAAAATGGATGTAAACAGATGAAAACGGATGTAAACAAATAAAAACCGGATGTGAATTGATTAAAACAGATGTAAATGGATGTAAAACGGATGTACAACGGGTAAAAACTGATGAAAAAAATGGATGTAAACTGATACGTTTTTTCAAAGACTGGACTGATAAAGAAAAACAACGCCCATGTTAAAGGACCCTAAGGTATTTATAAAATACACTATTTACGTTTAATTTTTTGCCTAGAGTTGGGCTTTAGGGTTGACATTTCAATGATATTTAAAACCTGTACTGAATTTTCATACAGATCCTATGAAATACATTCAGTAAGAATCATATTTTACACATTTCAAGTACATGACTGTTTGGATAAAAGCTCACATCTCTTTATATCCAAAAGATTTCCATTCTTTATATGGTATTTATTATATTGATTTATAACTGAAAAGGTTAAGCATTTGATGATGTTTTGCCACGTACACACACACTAAATTTCCCCTATAGTGTCATATTTTGATGCATTTTATATGTTACAGAGCTGCTTTCAAATGCTGGTGTCAGGCCCTTGATGAAACGCTCAACATGTCTGATGCTCTTAATTCATGGCAAGAGCTTGATGGCTCCCCAGACAGCATAAGCAGCGAAAGATCTAAAGATTACAGTAAGAGATTTCTATCCCAAGCGGGAATTTGGGGTTGTTTGCTGGCTGCTGTCATTGCTTCTAAAATTTCTCGGTAAGTATTGAAGAAAAAAATCTCTTGATTTATTTTTATTTATCACATAATTTTTAGTGCCCAGAGGGGATCAATAAAAGCATCTCCTGGTACATGCTTTAGAAATAAACTATTATAGTACAGGAAGCGCAAAACTTTACTGCAGCGGGAGCTCTGTTTGCAGAAAGCATTCTGTATACTTGGTTTATGCATATGTTCTGTCTGAGAAAACAATAGGCTTTTCAGTGTGATGATTTAGTTAGTAGAAGACATAGTTTATATAATATATTTTATGCACTTGTTGCTTTAAACTTATACTCACAAACAGAGGCTACATTATTTATAGAAAGAAGTATAACATAGTCAAATAAGTACCTTAAAGGGTCAATTTTGAGAAATACGTTTTCTCCACCCCCAGCACACTTTTTTTTTCTCTTTCATAAATTCTCTTTATAAGGCCTCATCCACACTGCTGCTCATAAATGTGAGTTCAAGAGCTTTTGGTGTTTTTTTGCCAAAGTCCCCTGAACTCAACTCAGTAAGAGCCTGTGTGTCCATTTACATGTAGCGCCCCTCTAATTAGGCTGGGGAGCTAGCTAGGTTTTTAGTTAGAGGCAGGATAGCAGCCTGGTATGAGCCAGCCTGGGATGAGTCAGACAGATAACTTGAGGTCAGGGCTGAGGGCTCTGCAAGTCAGTTTCCTGATACATCCTCCTGCTCTAGAAGCTTGAGAAGTTTCTAGAAGGCAGTGGGTGTTGGTGAGGAGGGGCTGATCTGCATACTCATTGGACTTTGACCAATCCCCAAGTGGGAGGCTTGTCATGGGGTCAGGGCAGCACTTGAGTATGGGAGGGCCTGATCAGGAAGTGGTCAGTGTCAGGTGGAAGATGATGAAGGGGCCCAGAGAGGTGCCCACCTGCATGCAGGATCTTGGAAGGAGGATCTCTCAGCCTCAACCATCCCCTGAGAGAGGACAGCCTGGGAAGCAGAGAAGAGGCCAGCCCAGTGTAAGGCCTGAAGGCAGCCACCAACCCAACAAGCTTACAGGAGAGGACTGAGTGAGTAATCCTGCACCCCCTGGGCTAGATAAGGGGAGAGGGCAGTCAGGTGGCAAACCCAACTAGCTCCTCATCTGGGGCTGCTTTACTACAGTGGCAGTTTCTGGGTCCCCTTGCTCAGGGATTCCCTCAGGCAGCTGGGTGAAGAGGAAGATTTATCTGGGATCTGAGGAGATACACCATAAGGGCTGGAGAGCTCTTTAAGTAGAGACTGTTTGTCTATGGACTTTTACAAAGTTGCTAAGGAGATTTGTCCTCATGTTCACAGTTTCTTGGGCATCTCATGCACCCCTTAACCCCATCCAAGTTATATATCCCTAATAAAACAAGCTCAAAGACTGTTTACTGTCTCCAATGTGTTGAAGAAAATGTATGTTGCCAGGCTGTGCAGGACTATAGGGGGACCCAAAACTCAGCAACTCCTAAGGGGGGTAGTGCTACACACACATAGACTTTTATTAGAATTTAACAGCAGCAGAGTTAGGGTCAGTTAAATGTCCAGGAAAAGTCTAAACACGTCTAAACGTGCCAAAGTACTAACTGCTTTTAGCGTTGGGCATTTATTCATTTCAATGGCAAGTACTGTAGCCAATGAAATGAATAAAAGCGCTAAACGTGATACTGTGCTTTCATGCGTTTTTGTCACTCTTAGCAGAAAATCATTCCAGTGCATATGGAGCCTAAATGTGCCAGAGGCACTTCTAATGCAAAAGTGGTTTGACCATAACACCACTTTACAAATTTGTTCCCAATTGTTGTTTTATTGTAGTGCACACTGTTAAAAATGAATCTAGTTCAGAAATACTTATGCTGAGGTGCTGTTTGAGGCTGCTTTTATTGGGTAGTTAAAGTGGAGTTCCAGCCATTTTTGTGTTCATTAAAAGTCAGCAGCTACAAAAACTGTATCTGCTGTCTTTTAATAAACACACACTTACCTGTCCCAGAGTCCAGCGATGTTCTCACCCGTGCCATCCCTTCTCCCCTACTCTCCTGTACAGCACCGGTATCTCGGCTGTGACAGCTTGCGGTTTCACAGCCTGGTGCCCACTGCGCATGCACGAGGTGCCTCCTAATTGGTCCGGCAGTCCTCTGGGACCTGTGAAAGTTCCCAGGAGACTGCAGGAGGGAGGAGGGGGCCCAACTTCCGTCTCACTTTGCTGCGGTGAACTGAGCCGGAAGTGGGAACGGGTACCTGTCAAAAACAGGTATCCGCTCCCCCCAAAAGGTGCTAAATATGGCAGGGGGGAGAGGAGGCAAATAAGCGGAGCTTCCACTTTTGAGTGGAACTCCACTTTAACGTGTACGAGTAGGCAAACCGATGGTATACTGTATATACATGTGAACTATCTTATCAGCCAAAAAAAACTTCTAATTTTGTTTAGTCCTCTTCCAGACACTATACAACACCCTGACCATTTGCTTTTCTGCACACAATTAGAATAATAATGATCAGTCTGTCTGTAATTGAATAGTTAGAGGATAACTAAACCCAAGGCTTACAGTCCTTAGTTGTGGTGGCTGCATTAGTATTCTTTTGTTTTTCAAGCTAAGAACAATTTCAGCACATATAGAAAAACCTGTCCATCTAGCCACAGACTTGTGTGTCCTTGTCACTATCTCTGAGTGGCACCAAAGAATATCCTCCTTCCTAGCTATCTTCTATAAACATCCAATTTGCCTGCCCTCCATGTAATAATAGAGATACCCGTTTCTAGTCTGTATCAAAAGAGCAGCCTTAGGGTGACATCCATGGCTCCCTCTATAGATGCAGTGGATGAGTAACCCACCCAGGTACAATGAGTGTGTAGTTAGTGGGGTTACCAGGTGAAAATTAAAACAATAAAGCTTGAAAAAAAACAAATACAGCCACTTTACCAAGCACTAGTACTCTGCCGTATATCACATTTTCGCTTTGGGTTTTGGATACACTTTAAGGAACAGCAGCTACCTGATGAGGTCCTGCCTGTGCTGTCTTTTTCAATCAGCAAGCTTTATATGCTCTAGATTTGCAACAAAGAAGACTGTAACAAAAGCCTGGTTTAAAGTGCTGTCCTTTCCCAGACTAAATGCTAATGTGCAGGAATATATATGGAGCAAGTACAAAAGACAGATTGGGATGCAATTTAAAAATATTGTTTTCTATTTGCCAGCTTACACACTATAATACTACCTTTATTTGCTGGAAATGTAAAATGCACTGCTTGCCTCAAAATCTATAGAATAAAAAAGAAATGAATTCTTTCATTATTGGATAAATGAGAAGAAGCTTTATCAGTGGTTAGCATGTACAGTGGCAGTTACAAACATGGGTCAAAATAATTGACCCTTTTAAAAATGGAAATAAAAACAATAGCGCCTCTTTCAAAAAATGGATGCCTGATTTGTTCTATCTTCAAGGCGATTCCTCTAATGACAGATAACTCTAATTGCTTTTATAGGAATCATATAGATCCTTGAACTATATAGGCATGAATTTTATTCACATGTATTGTTACTTGTATAAATAACTGTGTGCCTGGTGTTTCTGGGCCCCGTTGCAGTCATATTGTTTGCTGTATCCATAGTTATGCCCTTGCACAAAGTCAGGACAAAAATTGCTATAGGTATTCATAGGTAGAGGAATTCCAGCAGTCTTCTGTTATTTCAATGGTACCAACCAGAGATCTATTTTTGTATGAACTTATGTCTTTCTGAATTTGTAAACCCACAAGGGAGTTTTCTCTCCAGCATTGTCTTTGTAATGTCATCTTTTTTCTCTGTAAGAATGTCATTATCTGTTCAACTGAACAGTTTAAACTGCCAGTGCCACCCTAGATGCAGGATTTGAAGTAAACCCATCATGAGAGAAATACTGGAGATGATACTGCTGAACTTCTGAAAATGCTTATTGCCTGTCCCTTATACTGACCTATTAGTTTTAATAATTTGAGTCACTGATCCAGTATTATTATTATACAGGATTTATATACCGCCAACAGTTTGCGCAGCGCTTTACAAAATGAAGGTAGACATTACAGTTACAATACAATTTGGTACAAGAGGAAACAGAGGGCCCTGCTCGTTAGAGCTTACAATCTAGGAATAAGTATGCAGTATAAGTATGCAGATCAAGAAAGTCAAAGATAAAGCTGAAGTCCAGGAATAAGACCCAGTTCACATATATATGCGGATTTTATGCGTTTTGAACGCTTCCAATTTGCATGACACGTGGTAAACCAAAATCCTTTTCTATGGAGTCTGGTATGATTTTCAGCTTGGTTCAGGTGCAATTTCCAATGTCATACACTTTAACAATTTGCATTGGAATTGCACCTGAACTGCTGAATAAAATTGCACCGGACTCATTTACAAATCGCACTGAATAAAGGAGCATTTAATCCTTGTAGTGCTGGGGTACCCACTGCAAGGGTAGATTTTGTTTAACCAGTTCCTGTCCAGCCAGTAGCAAATTGATGGCTGAGTGGGACTTTTGTTAATCCTGGTGGGCGCCACATGATGTCCTCCCAGATCGCCGCCATGCTGCTCGAGATCCATCACCAGCTGTGTCCGTTTGGTCTTTTTTTAGCTTATTTAACAAAAAATAAAAAAAAACCCAGTGAGGATTAAATACCACCAAAAGAAAGCTCCAGTTGTGTGAACAAAATGATACAAATTTATTTTGGGTACAGTGTTGCATGACAACACAATTGTCATTCAAACTGTGAGTGCGCTGAAAGCTGAAAATTGGTCTGGGCAGGAAGGGAGTAAAAGTGGCCAATACTGAAGTGGGTAATTCTGGGAGTTCTGCTTTATGTCAGAACCCTAATCTGTATACTTGTTCTTGGCTAGTGATTCCAAATATTGAAGCAAGAAGACAAAATAACTCGTTTTTAAAAAAAGAGGTTAGCAAAGGCAACCTTTATGCTCTTCTTTTGAAAGGCTGAGCTGTAACACCACTATTTAAAAAAGAAAAGAAAAGAGCTTCATGGCACTTGCTAAAAGTGTGTTAAATGCGAAGTTTACCTTTTGGGTACAGAATAATAAATGCACATATTTTTGCAGAAAAAAAAATGTGCATTTATTTCTTTTCTCACTGGAGCCTGCAAAGCATTACACCCATGATCAAAGGATCACAGGTGCAATATCAGGCTCAATAATGCCCTCACAGTTCATTGAGAACTACAAGTTGTCTGCCACAATGACTGATGGGACTTGTACTTATACTTCTATATCACAACACTTAAACCTATAATATCCCAGAAAAGTGATCTACCTTCACCCTTGAAGGCTAGCTTAACAATATATATGTGACTTTTCTTTGAGCAGATACATCAAATTAAATGAAATAAAACCAAAAATTATAAAAATTATAAAAATATGATGTATAAAAAAAAAAAAAAAAAAAAAGAAAAAATTATGTCCAAAGTCCCACCGTGTCCAAAATAAAAATCAAAAATCCCAAAAATAATCCTCACAAAACTTAGACTTTTTCTTCTTCTTTCATCACCAAAACCTTCTTAATACCCGCACATCCTGATATTCGTGCACCCTATCTCAGAAACAGCAGGGCAGATTAACCACTCTGGGTTACACTCTCCTCTCATCAATTTTCTCCAAAGACTAGGGTCACTTCCTCCACTTTTCTCCAGAAAACCAGTCACAATATAAAAGATATTCTTCTTTATTGGTAACTCACATAAAAATTCCGTGGTAACAGCTCCTCCTCACAAGCAGTGTACACATGGACAGGTTCAGGGAAAACCAAGGTGATGATGTCTCAAGCCCCTTGGGAGAGAAGCAAGCACACTGCATCCACAGTTAATAGAAATCTAACATGGCTGACAAACTTCCTAAAACCAGGAAGTTTGTCAGCCATGTTAGATTTCTATTAACTGTGGATGCAGTGTGCTTGCTTCTCTCCCAAGGGGCTTGAGACATCATCACCTTGGTTTTCCCTGAACCTGTCCATGTGTACACTGCTTGTGAGGAGGAGCTGTTACCACGGAATTTTTATGTGAGTTACCAATAAAGAAGAATATCTTTTATATTGTGACTGGTTTTCTGGAGAAAAGTGGAGGAAGTGACCCTAGTCTTTGGAGAAAATTGATGAGAGGAGAGTGTAACCCAGAGTGGTTAATCTGCCCTGCTGTTTCTGAGATAGGGTGCACGAATATCAGGATGTGCGGGTATTAAGAAGGTTTTGGTGATGAAAGAAGAAGAAAAAGTCTAAGTTTTGTGAGGATTATTTTTGGGATTTTTGATTTTTATTTTGGACACGGTGGGACTTTGGACATAATTTTTTCTTTTTTTTTTTTTTTTTTTTTTTATATACATAATTTTTATAATTTTTATAATTTTTGGTTTTATTTCATTTAATTTGATGTATCTGCTCAAAGAAAAGTCACATATATATTGTGATGGGACTTGTAGTTCTCCCATTCACAGATTCTTTTCTCACTGGAGCCTGCAAAGCATTGCACCCATGATCAGAGGATTACAGGTGCAATATCAGGCTCAATAATGCCCTCACAGTTCATTGAGAACTACAAGTTGTCTGCCACAATAACTGATGGGACTTGTAGTCCTCCCATTCACAGTTTCCTGTGAATACATGACACGGCTCTGTGGGTGCTGTCATTAGGGGGGGGGGGGGGTGAGGAGAACACGTACTGGAGCATGTTACACATTATACCCTAAATATGGGTGTAACATAAAACATAAAATCAAAGGTGAACTTTAAATAGCAGTAGCAAGCATGATGTTTATTCCTGGAATATACTCCAGCCTCCCATCCCCACACTATTTTACTTATGGTAAAGGCTATATGTCTACTACTGTCCATTAAGCCATCTCATAAATATGGTCTTTTATAGTCATTTCAAGCCTACGAAGAAAAATCTGACAACCATGAGATGGGGGAGTAAAAACAAACTCCAGGTGGCTGCTCTTCCAACATAAGATCCAAAAATAGCCTTTATATAAAAATCCATATAAGAGCAGCAACAAAGATGTACAGGGGAGGGAAGAGGTTAATGTGTTTCACAGTGAAAAAGTGCTTTCTCAAAACAGGTTTGGTTGAAATGCATTAACCTCTTCCCTCCCCTGTCTGTACATCCGTGTTGCTCTTATATGGATTTTCAGGAAAGACTATTTTGGATTTTATGTTGGGAGTGCAGCCAGCCAGAGTTTTGTTTGGATTGCTACAACTGCAACTGGGCATGCACCCCAGACTTCACAGACCATTTAGCCGTATGCTGGCTCATCTTTGAGCAGCGGGAGCATGTGTTCATGGGATGAGGGAGTTCCAGGACTGGGGATCCTCACTCTACCACCAGTACCTTAATAGTTGGCTTTTGGATTGTCATGAGTTGTAAAAAGAGGAATGTGGGCAACATGGTGGCTAAGTGCATAGTGCTTTTGCCTTGCAGCACTAGAGCAGTGGCTTTGTTTTCCTCGTAATTGGCTTCCACCCATATTGGCCCTAGTGATTGTGTGTAGGAGTAGGAACATTAGATTGTAAGCTCTTAAATGATAAGTTCACCTTTTTAATAAAAATTTTAAATGCACATTTTTTTCAGGACATTGAGAGCTACAAGCAGACAGCAGCAGCAGCAAATTTGTTTTCCCCATTTACAAAATACTGTGAATGATTGACACAACTGCATGGGTGCAGCTCCGCACAGCCACATTTTTTTTAAAACTGTCACAGTTAGAGGGGGGGGGGGGGAGCTGTCAAAACAGGAGATGGGGGGGAACAGGGTCGGTCCTTTCGTAATTTGTTACATGTTACACCCTGAATATGTAACGAAAGGTGAATTTATCCTTTAAGTGACTAAAGTGAGTAGATCAATGTTATCAAAAAATATAACCTTTAAATTATCAGTGCTGTATATAAATAATAACATAATAAATAATCCAGTCTCTAATTATTTTTGAAAGTAATAATGCGACAGTAAATTGCCCAAATTAATTATAACCAAGTCATTACTACTGGACATAAGATGTTCTTTCTCAACTCTCTTGTTCTTTTTGCAGTTACATCTTGACATCAAATGTCAGAAAGAGAACAGAATGCTGCCTGTTCTCAGCTTTACTCTTCAAGGTAAGACACTCATTTGTGATTCATATGTATTTGTGTGCAGAGTAATAAGTCATCAGAAAACAAATGATGTAATATGCAATGTCTGTTTTCATTTCTAGTCACTGTTTTACGTGTCCCTGCCTCATCCAGATGAAGACCTTGATTATGCATTATATGAGGTTGGGGAAGGATGTGAGACAACTGAACTTATTCCAGGGATTGACCTGTTTTCTGATCGACATAGAGCAGATGTCAACATTGTTGTCTCTAGTCTGGGTTTTCTCATTTCAGAACTTCATTCATTTGCTCAAAATCTCATGGTTAGTCGCAAGTAAAAAAAAAAAAAAAAAAAAAAAAAACACGCACACACACTTACACACAAATCTTTCAGTAAATATGCTGATACCCGTCATCTCAAGGTTTTATTTTTTTGTGTACATAATTTCTCATTGATTTCTTTGTCCCTGAAAACAATGTTTTTTTCCTTTTCCTTCTTTTTGTCTTAAATGTGTTGCTGTTCGTTTTCCTGCTGATATATATATATATATATATATATATATATATATATATATATATATATATATTATTTATATATATATACATACACACACACACACATACATACACTTAAACTACTTAAGGCAGAACTTCACACTGTCAACATATATTTTAAATCCTTATGTTAGCATTAGTAAATAGATAAGAAAGTATGTCATATTTACTTGTTTTATACATTTTGTTTACATTTCTTTAATTACTTCCTGGTTTCCATGCCTAGGCAAATGATGTCATACATCCCAGGAGTCTACAAAAGGGTATGAGGGGTTTTCTCAGCTAAGCACACCCACCTGCCTGTATGCCTGAGATAAGGGCAGACAAATTCCAGGAAGTAAATGCTACATGAACGATCTGCCCTTATTCAAGTTGGCTATGGCCAGAAATGCTAGAGTGGTGTTTTCAAAGTGATTTACCAGCAAAATAAAGCATGGAGACATGGATGAATGGGGTAGTTTGCTTTGAATTGTAAAAATTAATTAACCCCTTGGTGCAGCGCCTCCCTGCCCTTTAAGGGGTTTGTGATGCCGGGAGACAGGGCAGGGTTTACGATCTTGTGACCGCCGATATTGGCTGTCACAGTGGTCACATGATAGGAAAGCTCATGATCGCAAGTAGCAATCAAGGGCTTTCTGATAGGCTTTTTGCTCCGTTTCAAAGGGTAAATCCAGCCAAAACTTGGGAGTTTCACTGTTCTCCAGAGCTCCATTAGAAAAATGTACCTTCTTACCTTCTATTCTGGTGAGAGAGGTTTTGCCAGACAGGGCATGAGGGTAGGCCTCAACAGCCAACACTATTATCAGCAAACATTAAAACTATTTATCATTGTGAAATCAGGTCAGGGGAAATCTCTCCAATTCATCCCCAGGTAGAAGTAAAAACCTGACAGGACTTCTAACCTTTCCCTTCTTGTGATTGGACATATTGTCCATGTTGGAGAAGGGCCTTTATAACAGAACTGGGAATTTTTTTCTAAATCCAAAATATTATAGATACATTTTGCTAGCAATCAGGTTTATAGATAACTATCTTTGGTGGCAGAAATACCTGTAAGACAACTGCTATTATGTTATTCCACAACTCACAAACACAAAAAAAAAAGTATGTAAACTGTTGTGTTTCTAACTAAATAATGTATTAAAATTGTAAATTGGTTGGAAATATAATGTTTTACATAGTTCTACTGATGTAAGATGATAAACAAGCATTTATTTAAACTTTTTTTTTTTTAACAGGTTTTGCCATTGCTTACTTTGTACCAGTATTTTGCTTCTACAGTATGCCGTGACCCTGTCAAATGCGTGGAAGGAAGGCTTTTAAAGGTTTGTGAAATGCTAAGTTAATCTTATTGATGTCAAAATAAACACATGGTGGTATGACTGAATATCAATAAGTTACACTGACTGACAATCTTACCAGGTATTGGCTCGTTTTACTGTTCGTATGGTGATTTTCTAAACAGTATAGCAGTATGTTCCATAGTAAAATTACATCTGTGCTGATTCCTAGCTTATTGCAAAGTTTAATCTTTCAGCTGGATTCAAAAAAATACTACAGAGCTATATTTCTGTGCTGAACATGTGCAACCTTCGTAGAAAAAAAAAAAAAAAGTGTTCATTTGATTACCGATAAAACCTTTTAAAGATTTGCACAAAGTTTTCACATTCATATGTTGCATTAGTGCCTGACATATGTGCACTCTATACGCTGTATAATATGGTGCTAGCATATTATACAGCACACATTAGAGAACAGCAGGATGATGTAAAAATTCCAGAATGCTAGCTTAATGTTTCCTACTTGATGTGCTAAATTGCATTGGATAGGTTTGTGTCAGGTGGCTGACATATTAAACGTTAACATGTCCCACAGTGGTTCCCATATATTGTCTTGGAAGCCAACTGTGGCCCTCAGCTATGTGGCTTGCATCAGCCACTGTACAAAAACCATATTGTAACAATAATGCTAGCGACACCACACAAGTAACATACTTTATTAAGAAAATGAAGTAAGAAACATTTTAGTAATTCCTACATTCTTGACTCAAGATCTCTACACAAAGTCTCTCTGCATGACTAGTGTACCCATATTTACTGAATTATACACTTCTAATTAGCATGAAGCTAAACACAGGTCATCAAGTGCTCATTCACACCTTTAGTACATTTGTTTTCGTTCTTTGTGTTAAAGTAGAACTATAGGAAAAATTTTTTATTTTTTATTTTGGACAGTGTAAGGCCTCATGTACACTGCAGCTGCTAAACTGATGTTTAGGAGCAGTTGGGTGTTTTTTCTGAAGTCTCTGAACTCTTTTCTACATTATCCTGTGTCCATGTACACATAGTCATTTAGAAGAGTTTACAGGCAGCTGGTTTAACTGACATTTCTCTGAAAGCACAAAAACTACATTCAAGACTAGAGTCTATCGGCATTTAAAACGCCATACGTGCCTAAATGCACCTAAATGTACCAAAACACTAGGAATGTTTAGCCCTTCAGCATTTTTACATTTCAGTGCCCAGAATAAATACAAATTCTGGCCAATTAAATAAATAAACCGCCAAACACCAAATGCTGCTAAACTCTGCTAAACTCACCTAAACTGGTTTGAAAAGAAATGCAGCTTAGGTAAGTTTTTAATGCTGATTTTCTCCTGTTGGGAGAAACAACATTTACAATAAACCAGTGTGCATGAGGCCTAAGAGAAGGTTATAACCCTTCGAAGTGAGAGGAAATCCCTGCAAGTTAAAGGAATCCCGTGGGACCCTCCAGGTCACCAGAAGCAGTGTCTCCATTGGAAGATTTCCCTTCTATTACTTTTCTGGGGACAGCCCAAAATTTGGAATTTCACTTTCAATGGTAATGGTAAAAAGGACAAACAGAGAGGGAGAATCTCCCTAATGGGGGCACAGACAGGTGTTCTGATACCTCTTCACTGTTCAAAACTAAAAAAAAATTGCCTTAAGTTATACTTTAAGGTATCCGATTCACTAAATGCATGTTATAGTGTACTACAACACAGAGGACATTCATATCTCTGCACTGTGGTGCACTATATGGTTACATTTGTTGCTTTTGGATATATATAGTGTAGATGGTTTAGACCTTGAAGATATATCTGGTATATAGGTTACAAAATGCAAAGTGTTGGCATTGCATACACTTTAATCACTTCAGCTAACCAATTTTTTGCTTTGGGCCCAACAGCTATGAGCCTTTTTATTCGGCAATAACTTTGTCATTACCTAAGACAGCATAGTAACACATCAATTATTTTTTTTTTTCAGTGATAATGTTTTTGCACAAAATATTTTCTTTTCTATGTGAACCATGGCCAAAAAAAGTAACACACTTAAACAAACACACTTTTCCATTTAAGCAGTGTTATGGAGGCCATACATGAATTGATTTTATTACCTATCAATATGCAATTTGATCAAAACAAACTGGTAAACAATCGAATAGACATAACTTTACTTCTGATTGATTTAGAATTGATTTAGATCAGATATGTTCAAACTGAGTCAATTGGCTAGGGTGGAAAAGCACTGAGGTGCTCTGCATATAAATTTGATTGTATTTCCATCGATCAGATTATGAGACTGCATGATGACAACAGACTTGATAACTTACCATCTTAAACTATCTACCAAAATCCACTTCCCTGAATGTGGAATATCAGCTGAATGGGTTGTTGACTATACATCGATTTTTCTTATTAGGAGCAACCAATCAGAAAAAAAAAAAGATAATTTAGCGTATGGCCACAATTATTTTGAATAAATTTTGTTACTATAGATAAAAAATATAGTTTTTTATTTCTAATTTTTTTTCTATTTAACCCCTTATTAACCCTTAATTTACCCTAATCAGCCCTAATAAACTATTTTTTTCCCTTGTTCCCTTAGCTATTATATATCTGCTGATCATTTTTGTTCATTTCTGTTGTTTTAATCATTACTATTTACACATTTTTCCCTCATTTTCTTTTCGTGTGAGTCCTAATATTTTTTTTTGTGTTACATTAAACAAACTCTACATTTTTTTAAAATGCTTTTTTTTTCATTTTTAAACAATTTACAATGCTTTTTACCAGAATCATAGTTTTGTCATTATAAACAGGACAAATTTTAGAATAAAATTATATTTTTTTCAACTTGCTTTAACTGACATCACCAGGGGCGGACTGACCATTTGAAAACTGGGGCACTGCCCGAGGGCCTGGGGACAGTAGGGGGCCCCATGAGATGCCCCTGGTACCTTTTTCATAGGCTTTTTTGAGTTTGGGCAAGGACACAGGGTCCCCATGATCCCCTATTGCCTGGGGGCCCCATGAGTTGTCAGTCCGCCCCTGGACATCACATTCAGATCAAACCTTCTCCCCATTGATTTACAGATGAATAGAACAATGTAAATGCAAAGTAACACTTCTCTAACTTTGTGTCTCTCTATCATGGTTCTGAGCATAAATGTATAAATGGGAACAAATTGTCAACAATCTAAAGTTAATTTAGTTATATATGTTTACTTACTGACTATTCAATTTGAATGTGGCTCATTAGATGACAAAACCTTGGAACCTGCATTTGGACTCTTATGAAACTTGTGTAATAGAGATAGGACTAAAACATATTAAATAGAACTAAACAGTAAAATAAAGACTTAGAAGTATAGATGTCAGATAGTTATAAAGGCTGCATTCTCATTGAGGTTTTTCATTCTGGATACTGTGAGTGCCCTTTTGGGTTGCGCAGAAAAATGATGAAACATAATTTGTACATCATTGCATGATTCAAATTTGCTATTTTGCAACTGAAAAAATCCTGGACTGGCAAGTGAAGTACACACAGCTGAACATCACAAATGACCATTACAATGCCAACTAAAGCTAAGAGCTACAAAGAAACAAACATTCGCACCTGTCACTGATCAAATTTTAGGTTAACCAGTCCCAGGATTCAAGGCACAAATCAGTGAAGTCGCTTAAATACACGTGAATACGTGCAACACAAATGTCTGAAATTACATCCAGAAATACTGCTGCTCAAACATCAGTACCATGTGCAAGAGGCCTAAAAAATATTTGTAAGACTAGGTGCAGCATTACATAGCAACCTATCAAATTTCATTGTGCTCTGGTTTGATGAGCAAGGAAGTGATTTCTTATTGGCTGCTAGGGATTTCTGTACTGTACACATCCTCAGTGATCTTTAAATTTGTTATTGAAAAAACCTGTAAGAGAAAAAAATTGAGTCCATTACAAAAAGTTTTATGTTAAAGCAGAACTATAGGCAAACCTTTTTTTCATCCTGGTTAGAGTAAGGCAGCGTTATAACCCCTGTTAATTTTTTTGCTATCTGTGTCCCGTTGGGGAGAATTCCCTTCACTTCTAGTACCAAAGCCAAAACCGGAAATGAGGGAAAATCCCTACAAATTAAGGTAATCCCTAGGGGAACCAAGGACACTAGAACTAGTGTCCCTGTTGGAAGATTTCATCTCCATTACTTTTCTGGAGACAACCCAAAATTTGGGGTTTTCTTTTACTTTCACTTTCAGTGATAATGGTAAACAGGACAAATAGAGAGGGTGAATCTCCATAATGGGACACAAACAGGAATAAAACTGACAGGTGTTCTAATGCCTCTCCATGCTATCCAAAATTAAAGAAAAAGTTTAGCCTTTTAGTTGCACTTTAATTTGCATTTGGCTAACCAGTTAATAACTATAGTCTCTGTGGCAGCCCCTAGTAATATTTTTTTATTTTTTTTTAATGTAAGTGTAAACTAATTTTATTTCCTTTCTCTGATTCTAGATTAAAGCACTCACAGATTTACATCTATTTGCTGAGGCACTTCATGAACTTTTGCTACTTAGTAATGGAGAACGAATTCCCAGACGACCACATGAAGGATTCTGTCCTGCAAAGCCTTTGGTAAACCCCTTAAATAACAATATTTAGTTGTTCACATGCTCACTGTATTTCTTTTAGTGTTTTTGACAACCCAGTTGTATGCTTTTGTTTAATTCCTTTAATTTATTCCAGGTAAATGTGAAATTCTCACCCTCAAAGACCCTCCTTTACAAGGAAAACCTACAGGTAGGCCGAGCACCCTTTTTTTTTCTTACAAGGGTTTACCCTGCAGAACATCTGTATCTAACATATGAATGTTCAAGGTTGGATTCCTACCTTTCTGGATGTAAAAATAAGGATACAATACTCATGGGCTGCCACAAATTAATGGCAAGCTGCTGCAAGCATTTAAATATGTTGCCACATCAATAAAATTCCCCAAGAATAGTGCTACGATGCCTCTAGTGACCCAAAAAATAACTAACAATAAACACCCTCCTTAGCAGCAAACCCAACATGTAAATGCATAAATCTTTGAAACAAATAGTTAATAAGAAAACAGGATGAACCACTAAATCCAAATGATATGTGAAACAAGTAGCAAAAACACCTGGCCAACCTATAATAAACACATGGCTGAGCTGAAGAAACAGTGTAAAAAAAAACAACAAGAACAATAATACATATCTGAAACATATATCAGAAATAAAACATGATTACAATATCAGTAAACACCTGGCCCCGAGCTATAATAAACAAAAACAGCATTAAATAAATGCAAGACAAATGCCCGGCTGTGCAATCAGCCCCCCAATGGAATAAATAAGTGATGAATCAAGTAAATGCCCAACCAGGCCAGACACTTACAAAAAGAACACACTAGAAAAGATAAGCAACTCTACTATATATATACAAAAAACAGATGAATGGTGAATGATAGATAACACTCAACAAAGAGCAAAATGCAGTCCAAAAGTGATAAGGCAGTCTCTTCCACCATTTAAAGTGATGCACCAGTGACTTCAACAGGTGTGCAAATCTATCACCTTCAGGCATGCGCGCTCACCTTAACAAATGAGCCATAGAAAATATAGGTCAACATATGCTCAATATTAATCCCACTGGATCCTCTGCTTCCACAGTTCTCTCCAGGCACACACAGGAACAATCCATTACATCCCCATTCTGATGGATAGGTGCTCAAAAGATAAGGAACTCCTTATAGTGTAGTAAGACTTTATTACCATAAAAATGTATAAAAAATGCCATTCACAGAACCTATTACAGGCATTTAAGGGAAAGCAGGGTGACCACAGGTGGTGGCTTCTGCACACACCAGAAAAGACGTCACAAGCTTCCATCCTATGCATACGCCACTAGTCACGTGACTTCTTAAGGGACAGATCCTTATTTCACATTGGTGAAAAGTTCTGATCATGTCTCCATGCTACTAGAGGTTTCACTGGCACAGAAGAGTTACATACTTATGTTACAAAAAGGCAAATTTCATCAAGTTCAACCAGTGAGTCTTTCACAAGAAGAAATGCAAGAGTATAATTGGTAATCAAGAGCAGAAATAAACTGTGAAACTATATGATGGGGTTATGAATGCTGGTCAATAGTAAAGAAATCATTCCCTATATCTGACATTATAACTTATCTATACAGTGGGGATCGAAAGTTTGGGCACCCCAGCTAAAAATTTGTATTAATGTGCACAAAGAAGCCAAGGAAAGATGGAAAAATCTCCAAAAGGCATCAAATTACAGATTAGACATTCTTATAATATGTCAACAAAAGTTAGATTTTATTTCCATCATTTACACTTTCAAAATAACAGAAAACAAAAAAATGGCGTCTGCAAAAGTTTGGGCACCCTGCAGAATTTATAGCATGCACTGCCCCCTTTACAAAGCTGAGACCTGCCAGTGTCATGGATTGTTCTCAATCCTGATCTGGGAAGACCAGGTTATGTCAAGCTCAAAGGTTTTAAATGCCCAGACTCTGACCTTGCCCCAACAATCAGCACCATGGGTTCTTCTAAGCAGTTGTCTAGAAAACTGAAAATAGTTGACACTCACAAAGCTGGAGAAGGCTATAAGAAGATAGCAAAGCGTTTTCAGATGTCAATATCCTCTGTTCAGAATGTAATTAAGAAATGGCAGTCATCAGGAACAGTGGAAGTTAAAGCAACATCTGGAAGACCAAGAAAAATATCAGACAGAACAGCTCGCAGGATTGTGAGAAAAACATTTCAAAACCCACGTTTGACTACACGATCCCTCCAGAAAGATCTGGCAGACACTGGAGTTGTGGTACACTATTCCACTATAAAGAGATACTTGTACAAATATGGTCTTCATGGAAGAGTCATCAGAAGAAAACCTCTTCTAACCACTTTGTTTGAACAAATGAACATATAGACAAGCCTGATGCATTTTGGAAACAAGTTCTGTGGACCGATGAGGTTAAAATTGAACTTTTTGGCCGGAATGAGCAAAGGTACGTTTGGAGAAGAAGGGGCACAGAATTTAATGAAAAGAACCTCTGTCCAACTGTTAAGCATGGGGTTGGATCAATCATGCTTTGGGTTGTGTTGCAGCCAGTGGCACAGGGAACATCTCACGAGTAGAAGGAAAAATGGATTCAATAAAATTTCAGCAAATTTTGGATGGTAACTTGATGCCATCTGTGAAAAAGCTGAAGTTAAAGAGAGGATGGCTTCTACAAATGGATAATGATTCTAAACACACCTCGAAATCCACGGGGGATTACATCAAGAGGCGTAAACTGAAGGTTTTGCCATGGCCTTCACAATCTCCTGACCTCAACATAATTTAAAATCTATGGATAGACCTTAAAAGAGCAGTGCGTGACAGACAGCCCAGAAATCTCAAAGAACTGGAAGACTTTTGTAAGGACGAATGGGCAAAGATACCTCAAACAAGAATTGAAAGACTCTTGGCTGGGTACAAAAAGCGTTTACAAGCTGTGATACTTGCCAAAGGGGGCAGTACAAGTTATTAACTCTGCAGGGTGCCCAAACTTTTGCAGACGCCATTTTTTTTGTTTTCTGTTATTTTGAAAGTGTAAATGATGGAAATAAAATCTAACTTTTGTTGACATATTATAAGAATGTCTAATCTGTAATTTGATGCCTTTTGGAGATTTTTCCATCTTTCCTTGGCTTCTTTATGCACATTAATACATATTTTTAGCTGGGGTGCCCAAACTTTTGATCCCCACTGTATGTCTCTGAAAAAAATAATTATGGGTAATATTTATAAAGTAGTGAATGTGACATTAACCAGACAATACACTGACATTTGAAACACATCCACCAGGAATATACACCTGTAATGCATGTTTGGTGAATCTCACATTCACTACTTTATAATTATAGCTATATGTTTTAGAACGTGAATTATCCCCTTTCATAACTTAGCAAATTTATTTATGTTTTCAGGTAGCAGTAATTATTTAAAAACTGAACTCAAGTTGAAGAGCCTATATAGCGTTAGGTTCTAAAGGTTTAAAGGTTATAATTTAGTTCAGCCAGTTCTTTTATCTCCTGTAAACTACAATGCAATTAAGCAGGGGTGTATGAATCATCAGGGTCCCAAAGCAAAATTGTGATGGGATCATCCTGGCTAACTCTCTCTGTAGCAGCTTGCAGTGTCTACTGTGACAATCCGTTTCGCTGATCATAACATAAAGTATGTCTAAATCAAGGACAGACAGCAGGAGAGCTGTCAGCACAGTCAGCACACTATTAAGGACATGTGCTTTGGATGAAAGTTGTAGTTGTAGTAGCAATAATAATAATGATATAAACTATACTATATGATTTTTCCTCAAAAAAGAACTTGCAGATTTCTGACTGCTTTAGGGATACACAGTTAATTTCAGTCTGTAGCAGAATATCAGCGGGCACTAAATCCACACTGCTAAGAAAGCTAAACAAATGCTTGTAAGCAGGTTGAAATGCTGGCTAACGAGAGAGCTGCTTCCCCAGCCGGGAGGGAAAGAGTTAATCCAGTTTCCCACACTTTTCTGGGCTTTGCCTCTCTCCCTGTGCTGATAATGAAGTGGGGGAAGGGCTCTTCCCAGACACACAGTGAACCAGCAAGATGTAATCCATCCAGCCAGCAACCACACACTCAGAGGGAGAGAAGCCTGCATGGGAAACTGTTGAGAAGCTGCTGAGCCATGTAGTCCCACAAGACACAAGCTTCCTGGGGATTCTGCCACAATGGACTTTTCTTGCCATGGACTTCCCTTGTGCAGGTGTGCTGGTATGCTGGGGCAGCCAAAAGCCTGAGAGGACTAGGGTAGATAGGGATCAAAATGTTGCACTTTCTTGGAACGGTTATGCAAAAAATCTTTAGTGAAACATGTGAAACTTTCCCTATGCCTGGTCTGACATTTTTCAGAAGGGGTGTATGCAAGTAACAGGCACACATATGGTTTCCAGTGTGGGTCAGTAGACACATTGGGGTATGAAGACAGCAAGTGGTTACCAAGGGTAATGGAGGTCTAACAAGCAGCCTATCGTGAAGCGTGCTTCTGTGAGAAGTAGCAAAAAGCCTTTTGTAGCGAGAGAGTTGTTCTCGGCATTATCTCCTCTGGCCATCCATCTACCATAGCAAAAAGGAGCAGATTGTGTACATGGACACAGGGCTCAAGAGATATAACTAGAGTTTAGTCATCTGCTCACGTGTACATGGCGTATGGCCATCTTTGAGTTAGAGATCCACCTTAAGGTTGAGTTATCCCTGAAAGCAACCCCTGCCTTGTCCCAGGACATGGTTGAGTACGACATAGTAAGGGTACCCATGTGCAAGGCGAGTGATCCTATTCAAGGTGCTTAGCATAGCCCAGAAGAACCCACTCTAAGGGTTGGCCTCATATGTGACCCAGACTTGGCACCCAACGAGGAGAAGAACATGGAGAAAGTACCACCAACCTACCCCCCTTACAACATGTTTCCTGCTGCACTATCAATTTGTGAACAGAGAGGATCCTGAGCTCTGTCTTTAGCTATTCTGTATTGAAAATAATTAAATTTTCTTTTAACAACTTCCTTAATGGGGCCTGCCTTCCAGCTCTGTCCCCATAGCAGTCTTGTAGGTTGCTATTTCTATTGCTACACCGTTGCATTGAAGCAATTCAGAATGGTGCAGGTTTCACCTCTAATTCTTTTTTTAAACTCATGTTTATTAAGAATGAAGAAGGTAACATAAGAAAAAGAGTTTCCTCAGTGGGGAGGTAAACATCAGAAAATAGCACACAATAGATTAGCACAATAGCACACAATTAGATTACACATACAATAGTGGTAACACTTATAAACTGATAAAGGCACACTGCGTCACAAGAGTCACTCTGCTGACCTCAGCATCCCTGGTAGAGAGTTAAGGAAGAGAGGAGTTCAAGCAAGGCCATCCAGCCAAGCACAGGCATCTGCTGGATTAGTGAACAACTGCTTTACCGCCACTGATGACACAGGGTAAAGCATACTGTAGGGTAGCTGCTTGTCTCGTAGCTGTCGCTTGACCACAGTAAAGGCAGCCCTTTGTTTCTGTGTAACTGATGAAAAAATCTGGAAAAATAGAGATAGTATATTCCCATTATATTTCACTTCACTTGTTGAGCAGGCTGTACGAAGAATGCACCCAAGGGTAGGGGGTGCAGCGGGACCCTATGGGCCCTTTCAACAGCAAAAAGAGAGGAAAAAGTGTCTGGTGGCATGGTGGATTTGAGCTAGCGTTACATAAATTCTTTTGGATCTCTGCCCTCAGACCCCTCTGGAAAGCCAACAAAATGCAAGTTATTGTGTCGCAGTCTGTCCTCTAGGTCTGTTAGTTTAACTGCATGACCAGTAGTAGCCTGCTGCATGGAATGGCCATCAGTATGTAAGGGATCAATGGCATCTTCCACATCACTAATACGTTGTTGTGCAGTAGTCACTCTGCCCCGCAGCTTCTGCATATCATGATTAAGGAAGAACATGTTTTAATTACCTCCATTACATGTTTAGGGGTTAATTCTTCCTCTTGTGGCTGTAAGGAAGTCGTATCATAGACTGCAGGGGAGATAGGAGCTGACACAATTACTGCTAGCATGGCTGCCCTCCCCTTCCCCCCACTTCATTCCAGGCTAATCTGTCTTTGCCTCTACCCCCTCCTCATTGCCACTCCGAATGGAAGGGAGGGAATGCTCAATAAAGTGCTCCAGGATGGTAGAAGGGGGTTTGAATTTGGTGGCAGACACCTTTTTTCGGAGGTAGAGGGGGCTGCAGTACTCTCTCCAGTCTTTTTCAGCTTCTCCCACTGGGGGAGAGCACATAGAGCTGCCGGGCCACCGCCATCTTTGAAGTTGCCAGGGGAGGTCCAAGGTGAACGATCCCCAGGTGGCTAGAGCACTCCCTGCCCGATCTTCATTATGTTGGCAGCTGCAGGAGAGGATCCGCACATCGGGAGGGCACAGAGCAGGTAAGCTGTCGGCTTGCTGTGTGCTCAGGATGGGCTAAATGGGAGCAGTGCTACAGAGCTCTCAATGTGTTCAGCTTACATCCTGCATGGCCAGCCATGCCCCCCTCACCTCAATTTTTACCTGAACAATGAAGAAACTGACACAAACTGATGAGATTTTATCTCAGCTTTCCTCTCCTGTTAGCATGTTCAGTAGTAGTAGGTTGGTAGCACTGTGTAAAGTGCTGACTCTCCTGTTCTCAGCCTACAGTTGCAAGAAAAAGTATGTGAACCCCTTGGGATTACGTGGAGTTTTGCATGAATTGGGCATAAAATGTGCTCTGAACGTCTAAGTCACAACAATAGAAGAACACAGTCTGCTGAACATAATACTGCACAAACATTAGATGTTGCCATGGTTTAATTGCACATAACATGTAAACATTCACAGTGCAGGGAGGAAAAAGTATGTGAGGTCCTAGCTTAATGACTTCTCCCAGAGCTAATTGGAGCCAGGAGTGAGCCAACCTTGACTCCAATCAGTGTGATGATATTGGATGTGTTACTGACAGCTGTCCTGCCCTTAAAAAACACACACCTGTTTTGGGTTTACTGGTTTCAAGAAGCACTGTCTGATGTGAACCATGCCTCACAGAAAAGAGCTCTCAGAAGACCTACGATCAAGAATTGTTGACTTGCATGAAGCTGGAAAGGGTTACAAAAGTATCTCCAAAAGCCTTGATGTTCATGTGTCCACGGTAAGACAGACTGTCTACAAATGGAGAAAGTTTAGCACTGTTGCTACTCTCCCTAGGCTTGGTCGTCCTGTAAAAATGACTGCAAGAGCACAGCGCAGAATGCTGCATGAGGTAAAGAAGAATCCCAGAGTGTCAGCTAAAGACCTACAGAAATCACTGGCACATGCTAACATTTTTGTTGACACATCTACAATAAGGAAAACATTAAACAAGAATGGAGTACATGGGAGGACACCACGGAGGAAGCCATTGCTGTCCAAAAAGAATATTGCAGCACGTTTGAAGTTTGCAAAAGAGCACCTGGATGTTCCACAGCACTACTGGCAAAATATACTGTGGACAGATGAAACCAAGATTGAGTTGTTTGTGAAGAACACACAACACTATGTGTGGAGAAAAAAAGACACAGCACACCAACAACAAAACCTCATCCTCACTGTAAAACTTGGCGGAGGGAGTATTATGGTTTGGGGCTGCTTTGCTGCCTCAGGGCCTGAACAGATTGTTGTCATTGATGGGAAAATGAATTCCAGAGTTTATCAAGACATTTTTGAGGAAAACGTACGACCATCTGTCCGCCAACTGAAGCTCCGCAGAGGATGGGTGATGCAACAGGACAATGACCCAAAGCCTACAAGTAATTCAACAAAACAATGGCTGCAATAGCACAGAATATGCCTTCTGGAGTGGCCCAGTCCGAGTCCTGACCTCAACCCGATTGAAATGCTGTGGCATGACCTTAAGAGAGAGATTCACACCAGACATCTCAAGAATATTGCTACACTGAAACAGTTTTGTGAAGAGGAGTGGTCCAAAATTACTCTGGATCGTTGTGCAGGTCTGATCTGCAACTACAGGAAACGTTTGGTTGAGGTTATTGCTGCCAAAGGAGGGTCAACCAGTTATTAAGTCCAAAGGTTCACATACTTTTTCCTCCCTGCACTGTGAATGTTTACATGTTATGTGCAATTAAACCATGGCAACATCTAATGTTTGTGTAGTATTATGTTCAGCAGACTGTGTTCTTCTATTGTTGTGACTTAGATGACGTTCAGAGCACATTTTATGCCCAATTCATGCAAAAGTCCACGTAATCCCAAGGGGTTCACATACTTTTTCTTGCAACTGTAAGTGCTGGGAATTACAGAATACTGCTATCAGGATAGGTTCAAGCATTGTATGTAAAATCAGATTTAATTATTTTTTTTAATGAATATTTATCTGAATTAAATGGCAGTGTTTATATCTGGCTGGCATTTAGCTTTAATACAATTTTGAAAAAGTAACTTTAAAACTTTATTTACTCAAGGATTTATTTTATCACCTATTTGCAGTCTTGTCTGTTGTAAATAGATTTACCCTGGAGCTTTGGTTACTAAAATGAGGGAAGTCTGAACTTCCATAGAGTTCCATAGAGTTATAGGAACATCTAGAACTTGATGTCTGTTTCCCCAAAGGTGTAGCTCTTGTCTCTAAGGCTTTAGCAGTAATGCTTAAGGCTTTTTAATTGGATACTTACAGCTTGCTAGGTAGCCCTCAAGACTTTTCTTTAGTAAAGCATGTTATCAGCTAACAGGGAACTTTGAAATTTAAAATACCAATGTTAATAATTGTATAGCTTAAATATTAGTTGATTAAAGTAAAATATCTGTATTGTATTTCAGTAGTCATTGTGTTTAAATTGCAGGCTATTGAAGAAGTTCTTAACAGATCACCCAGCACACATCTACTCTCTGTGTGTAATCAAGCAGCTGTAAATCAGCTAACACTGGCTAAAACACATTTCCTTATCAAGCTGGCTTCAACTATTAATGCTATTCCTGAAGTGGTAAAGAAGGCTGATGGATTTGTGACTGAGGAAAGCACAAAGCAACAAGGTAAAAACCTGGAGATTTTTTTACACTTAAATTGAAATCACTTCTAGAAAGGTTAGACCATCTCCCATGTTTTTTATTGCTGTCTGTGGCCCCATTGGGAAGATTTTTCTTTTGATTCCTGTTCCTATGACAACATTGTTACAGAAACAGAAAGCTAGAGGAAATATTCTCAAGGGGGCCACATAGCTTTAAAAGTCTAGTGGTTCTAACCTTTTTCCTCTTTATTAAAAACTAAAAAGAAAAAAGGTTCTGAATGTAACAATACTTTAAGAAGCAGAAACCACTGAAATAGCTAAATTTTCATTTCAAAATGACAAATATATCAAATATCACAAATAGTAGTTCAAAGTTTCATAAAGGTTTCAACTATTTGCCAGTCTTTTTTTAGTGATTGTCATTGTCCCTAAACAGCAGTAATGTTATTGCAACTTCAGTGTGATATTACCTCTCCAAATGTTGTCATATCATGATGTAAATGTCAGAAATTGCCTTATGTTTTTGTAAGTGAGCAATCTTCTATAGACCTTTGTCCATGCAGTGACTTATAGATCCTTCTTAGTGGTGACCAGTAGGAGATGTAGCTCAGTTAGTAGCCCTAGTGTTGTGCCCTGATGTGTCTACACTAGCCTACGTCAGTACTACTGCCAGTGAATTGAACTTCATAAGATGGTGTTACATATTTTACTAATGTTTGATTTATTCTAAGACCTTTGTAAATCAAAAGTGGATCTGAACAGTAAATTCAGAGGCAATGAGTTTTAAGTTAAATGTTTTTAGTTAGCTTATTCCGTACCCACCAAGAGTACACATACTGTATATGTAGGCCTCACAGAGGTTTGTCGTCTTCTGTGGGGCTGCATATATGCACTACTGTATTTGTGTTGAGAGCGCACTGGACATCATGCTCCCAGCACAGAGATCGAGCTGTCACCAAGAGCTACAGGTCTTGTACTAATGATCAGGAGCCGGGAGGACCATCAGTTCTCGGTCATATGACCCCTGTGATAACTAATCACAGGCTATCACAATGAGCAGTCACTGCATAGCCCCATCCCCCTGTGTTATTTCTCCTCTTCAAGGGAGAAAAAGACATCTTTTTCTCCTTGCTAGAGGAGAAGATTGTAAACAAAAAAGTTGTGTATTAAATAAATAATAATAAAAATAAAGATAACATAGCTAGATCAGGATTTGATCTGTGTCACGATTAGGGTCAATGTTATGGCCAAAGTTTGTGGTCAGGGTCAGTGTGTTTTAGGTAGGTATATAAAAAAAGTAATGTTAAACATTTTTTATTGTACTGTCTGTGTGTTAGTGTGTTTAGGTAGGATAGAAAAATCTCCTATTCAACAAATTCAACAAAATGTTGCAGTCAGACAACTGCCTTTAGCAGTATTTCTAAAAGTTAAGTCAATTGATTTCAATATGATTCAGCTTTCTTAAACCTGTCATGATGATTGATATTGGTTTTAAAGAAAGTACTGTATATCCCAAGCCAAGGGTTGGACAGTACCAGGAGGGGTTTTTATTGCTGTTTGTGTCTCCGCTTTGGAGATTCACCTTTTCCAATTGACAGAAGCAGGGGCGGACTGACCATTTGGAAATTCAGGCACTGCCCGAGGGCCCGGGGTCAGTAGGGGGCCCCATGAGATGCCCCTGGTACCTTTTTTCATAGGCTTTTTTGAGTTTGGGCAAGGACACAGGGGCCCCATGGTCCCCTATTGCCCGGGGGCCCCATGAGTTGTCAGTCCGCCCCTGGACAGAAGTCACCAAGACCAAAATTGATAAGAATTTCTAAATTCTACTGTTGTAAGCAATACGAGAGGGGAATGGTGCTGGAGTGGGTTCTTCTCACTTTCTGTTGTTTACCTGGGATAAGAATTAAATCTAATTATCCCGGAAGGGAGATACACTTAAACATGACAGAGATTTTAACCCTTTCCTAATCTTTGAAAAAAAAAAAAGTTTCTAGAGATATACGTAAAAATTATAATGTGACTCTGGCAGCATTTTGGGAGTTCTAGCATACCAGTGAGACCTGTGCTTTTAACAATATCAAAAGAAAATGCTTAAAATGTTAGATGCCTGCTAACATTTTTGGATTGGCAACCCTATGCCTCAAGTTTGTCAACTGTAATTGAGTAGTTCTTTGAATGTTTATACCATTAAAAACACTCATGTGTTTCTAGATTGTAAAATTACTAGAATATTACATTAGGAAATGTATTAGGTTATATTTTCACTACATCTAATAATTATTTTTCACATTTTATATCAGCAGACACCGCTGAATCAAAAGATGAGGATAATGCATGTGTGCAATTAGCTTCAAAACAAGACCTCACCCAATCAATGCTAAAGGTGGGCTGGAAAGATATACTTGTTATGGCAATAGTGAGGTATGATGAGGCTCAAACTGTGTAGAAAGAATAGGGGAGTAGTACTGAACTCTGTGCCACAATTATTTTCCCCTGAATTTGAAAGTGTGTAACAACAATTGTTAGATTTAATTCTAATGTCTATGCTTAAGACACCTTTGAAGAACAGCAGATTTAGACCGCATCATAAACTTCCACTAGCTGGAATCTGCAAAAGATTGCTGATGTGGCCCTGTTATAAATGGTCAAGTCACAAACAGTCTGGTGAGCAATACACATCTGTCAGTCTGTACAAATTGGGGTGTGGAAGTGGGACTTTAAGTATATCTCAAGGGTTCACAAGTGGACCTATGTGTTATACATACAAATATGCATAAAAGTTACATAGTTTATTAGATTGACATATAAAAATAACCATCTCTAGGTACAAACATCTTTCTTGGAGATGCGTTTCATGGGTATTCCTGCTTCTTCAGGACCCACAAATCATTTACTTGAAAATATAGATACTCAGATCTGAAATATCTCTCTATGTGTTGGGGAGCAGGATATCCGATGTAAGAACAATTCTTTGGGTACAGATGAAATATGTGTGTCACTTATATGCACTTGCCAGCCCAAGGGAAATCACCCCTGAAGACATCAAGGCTCCAGGGCTAGAGTAGATTCCAATATGAGTAAAAAATTGCTTGTACATAGGATGCAATTAAATGGTGGACAGTGTCTCCAAGAGAAGCAGAAATCTCAACCCAGCTAGATTAGAATATAGATATCTCAAATTACAATGGGTAACCAATGGACTCTCAACAAGGATCTAGGTTCAAATATCCAAGGTCTTAATAAAATATCAAGAAAGAGAAGCCATCATTCCAGGAGATGAACATCAAGCCGCCATAATGCCCTCAATTGGCAAATGACATCTGTCAGTCTGGCTTTTGACTCAAGACTGAACTTTCATACATCTCAAATCCTGTGGTAATGGAGTTAGGTCTCGATTCCCCAAAATAGATCTTTAGTTTGACCTCATGTAGTAGAATATTATACCTTGTTATGAAGACCTCACTTACAAAAAAATATTGAAAACAAAGAATAAGTCCAGAGGTGGGCAGCAAAAATGGTGAAAGATCTGGGGATAACACTTATTAGGAAAGGCTTCAGGAACTCTATATGTACAGTCTTAGTGAAAGCGGAAACATGACTTAAACTTTTAAACTAAGGTTGTGAATAAGGTTCTAGAGGGCAATATTTTCATTATAAAGCGAAGTTCAAGAACACAATTATATGACCTCAAACTAGCAAGAGTAAAGTTCAAATCTAACCTTGGAAAGTATTATTTTACCAAAAGAGTGTAAGGTGCAGACTCGATGGAACACTTGATCTTTTTCTGCCATCAGTCTTCTATATTTCTGTGTTATCCTCACAAAGTGGCTACACTTTAAGAAAATTCCAATCAGACACCAAACATGTATAATTTACAAGGTCCAGAAGGCTAATAAGACACATTAGACATTCTAAGAGTAATATAAATCTGATCTATATTTAGTATATAACAAATCATGATTTCATTCTGGTAACTTATATGCTGCTTGCCGAATGGTGAAACCTTGTCAGGTGGCAACATGATGTTTTCAGTATAGTTGCCATTAAAGTATAGTTGAAGGAAAACCTTTTTTTAGTTTTGGATAATGTGGAGAGTGATTAGAATACCTGTCAGACTTTTATTGCTGTCTGTGTCCCCGTTAGAAAGATTCACTCTATTTGCAATGTTTACTGTCATCATTGAAAGTGAAAGTAAAAAAAATAATCCCACATTTTGGGTTGTTCAGAGAACAGTAAGAGGTAAGAAATTTTCCCATGAGGACACAAGATCTGGTGATCCTAGTAGCAACCAGGGATTCTCTCATTGTGAAGGGATTTCCTCCCACTTCCTGCTATGGTTATTGCATAAGAAGTGAAGATAAATCTCCCCAATGGGACACAGATGGCAAAAACAAACCTGGTAGGTGGAGTTATAATCCACCTTTACTCTATCCAAAATAAAAAAAAGTTTTGTCTTGAATTCTACTTTAAGGGTGCGTCTGGTGAGCATATTAACATCCATGCCAAAAAAAGTTCCACATACAAGATATCAGTTACCCACACAGGGGTTTCCACCATGAAAGAAAAAAACTAAATGTTCAGCCTCCTGGCTCCCTTTGCAGCTTTACCACTCAAGCTTAGTACCTTGGTCCTCCTGACTATCAGACACATTCCAGTGCTTGTGCACCAACCGCTGTACTTCTCGCAGCTGGTCTCTTATCCTGCAGCTCCCTGCTACTACATCCTTCTCTCTCACAGGCATGGGCCTCTGTCTGTTCTGGACAGCATGGTGCACTAACCCCTTCGGGAGGGTGGAGCACTGAACTCTGATTCTGACTCTAACATAAACCCAGCACACACCTGCATACATTAGTGTGTCTGTTTCCTACAAATCCTGGCCTAGACTGGCTTATTACACAGTGGCATGGCCTTGCCCTGTCACAATGTATATAGCTCAATTTGGGAAGGAGGGATCTCATTCTTTTGATGAGGAGTATGTAAATGTATACTGTGACGGGACGCAGCGCCCGACCCCTGCCCTTCTCACTAACTCGTGACCAAAGGACCAGCCAATCTTGCACACCGCGCTGTCACTTGCGTAACAATGCCACTCTCAGCTGCATCCTGCACAAAGATTTTCCAGCTTACGGGACCACAATCTATGTGCCAGCAGCCTGAGAGTGATTGTTACTGGGTTAGGTTAATTATGCAATTAACCCTTCACACTGCCACCACCATCTTTTTAGAGAGAAGGAGGAAATGCGCAAATCCTAGCAATAACACTATGATATTAGTATAAGCATCTGTAGCAATACTGTCACCATAGACAGGTATATTCAGAGGATTATCACATACAATAGCACTCTTCAAAAGACAGGGATTCTTTAGTTTGCATTAAAAGCTTTAGAAACTTCAAAAAAGGGTTTTTATTACTAAAAAGGTCAAAATGTTGCAATTAAAATATTTACAGAAAAAGATGTTACACAGACATAAAGAGAACAAAAATGCAACAGAGAAATAAGAGTAAGGAGTTAAGAAGTCAGAATACTTGCAAAGACCTGGTTTTTGCAGAGTCCAATTGTCTGAGCAAAAAGGTTGCCTTGGCTCTCAAGTCCGTTAGATGTTTCTTGACTGATGTTAAACGAGAGCTCCCCTTCTCCAGGCCTGTCAGTCCTTTTCTATGATATTAAAAGGGTGTCGTCTGAGAACAACTGACCAATCATCCAGTTTGGGGATGGGTTCTAGGAGGCCACCAAGTTTATGACCAAGTCGCACTACAATTTCTTGCTGATATCAATAACTTCCAATACGTGCAGGTGGCATTATAACAACTGGAAGATTAATATTCAGAATTATATTTCAAACCCAGGGATACCAAACACAGCGTACCCTAGTCACCCAGGAGGGAAGAGACTGCTTTCTCCTGTCTCCTATGTGCCTACATAGTCATGTATGACCTTTCCTTGCTTGACATGAAATGATCTATCTAAATATATACGTAATATTAATGTGCCCAGTTCCTGTTGGGTGTTATGAACTATATGTGAACTTATGACATGTGGCATTATGACATGTTTTATGGCACGCTCTGCATTCCTAGAGCCCTAATGCCTAACAGGTCATGTGTGATGGCTTACTGAGTTATTGTTTTACGATAGGGCAGAGGAACGTGTCTTTGCAATGTAGACATCCTGCCAAGCCTAATTAGTGGTTTACAGCCCTGGAGCTTCATCTATTTGTGTTTTATTTAAGATAAGAGGCTGTTTTGAAGTTGTTACAACTTACAGCTACAAATTCCATTCCAAGAGGAGGGAGGAAAGGAGAGATGATTGTAAGTGAAAAACAACATGGCTGAGACCTTAACAAGATGGCTGTTGTGTACAGCGTCCATGTCTCTGTAGCACACAATCATAACATATATATGCATTGAATGCAAATTACACCAAAAATATGTCTGCATGTGCCTGTTAAGTAGAAAGCTTTCAGGATAGTGTATATATTCATAATTGTGTATGAATCCTAAATTGTACCATGTAGTAGCTCAATACCTCTTCTTTTTAACTTAGGATATTCTGTTAAATGAGGCTGAAAAAAGACTGACATCAGTTCTTCAGGATATTGAAATGAAATGCCAGAGCCAATTCTCTGAGTGTTCTGCAGTGTACCTGGAGATGGCAATTCAGACACAACTTCAACTTTCTGAAATAGAACATCAGAGGCATCATACTGCAGTAAGGCAAGTGGAACTGGATACAGATATTTGGTCTGCATCTGTCATTCTATTAATGGCTAACTCAGCCCAACACAGAGACTGATGTGAAAATAAACCGAGAATAAAAAGACTGTTATACAAAAATATTTATTTGATTTCCTACAAGCTTTGTGGAGATGTATTCAAAATGAATTCTACATGGCACTGTACTATAGGGCAAGCTCTTCATTACCTTTTTTTTTATTTTTTATTTTTTTATACTTTGTTATTTTTTTCCCAACCCCTTCTTCATAGAAGCCATGCGCTGCACTAATGATAACTAGCTATAGTGAAATAGCAGTATGCAGTTTGCAGTAACTGGCTGTATATTATTGGTCTGTGTGTGTGCTTTTAATCAGTTTTGGTAGTACAGCGGAAAAAGGGCAAAAGGAAATTATTTGCAAGGCCTTGTCTATTATTCAAAAATGTGTAATAAATTCTGTACAGTATTTTTTTAGATTTGTGATGGGAGCGAGGAATAAATATACCTACTGTTTTAAGGCTCTGATGTGCTTTGCACTGGTTTATTGGAAAACTTTTTTGGCTTCTTTTAATGCTTTTATCATATCCATTCTGGTTAAAACAATAATAGAGGCGGTCACTTGTGTGCACCACAAAATAAATATGTATTACATCAAAAAAGTAGAACTAAAAGCATTTTTTTCCCATTTTTGATCGCATAAGGGAGGGTTATGAAACATCATGAAACATTTGTTTAAAGTGTTACTAAACCCACAATAGTAAAATCGGTTTGCAGTAAAGCATGCTTGTTATACCTACTGTGAAAGATTAATTTACATTACCTATAAACAAAATAGAACAAGTGTCTAAAGGAAACCTGAGATAATAGAAATATGGGAGCTGCCAATGCTAATGTGAATTTAAAGCCTAACTCTAGACCACGGGTTTCCATGCTTCTTATACTCACTGCAAAACCTAAGGGGTTAATCCTCTGCATTGTGTAAAAAGGCTGTTTGATTTTGTCTTTTCTGATCCTCCCCTTCTTCCACAGACCCCAAGTCCCCAATCCACTTGCCATCAGTGGCAAGTCTGCACATGCTTTGTTTGGTGTGTATTGTTAAAGAGGTTTTTGTTTGGGTGGATACAGGGGGTAAGCACAGTGCCAATCAGCACTGTCGGGACAGAGGGTCAGGGGGCATGCAGCCTCATAGGACAGTCAGAGGAGAATGAAAACTCCTACAAGTTTAACCAGTGCTCGGCCGGATACTGCTAGAAGTCACAAGACCGCTATATACTACTGATGAGAAAATATATTTAGCAGTTTATATTTACTAAGATAATTGCATTTCCATGATCTGTTTACTGTGGACGACTGGATATAGTGAATGTAGGGTTATGGGTTTAGTAACATTTTAATTCACATGATTTTATATCAAGCCTTCCTGTCTTAAAGGTGCTTCCTCATAAGAAAAATACAGGGTTTTTGTTTGCCTTTCTCATTCAGAAAATGTTAGTTCCTTGGCTACTATCCTATCCATTTAAGGCTTTCTAATCCAACAACCTGGACAAAGCATGCAGATCACAGGTTATGATTTTCTTTAATTTCTGCATGCTTATTCTGGGTATGAATTATAATATATTGAAGCCATTGATGACAGAGACTTAATATTTTCAGGAATAGTTCAGCAAAGGCAACCCTCATATTTCATTCATGATAGGTTTGTTTCAAGTGAAGGATTGCCATATACTTGATGGCCAATAACTATTCTTGTTTCCACAACTGTAGTGTGGCCATGGCATTTTCTGCCC